TTATACTCATACACACTATCATACACACACACCTATACACGCACGATTCTATACTGCAATTGATGCCTATTTATATATAGTTTAATTAAAATACTTGAATTAACATCTCTGTGAAAATTGGTGTTAACAGCAATACGTTCGAGTTTGGGGACGCCTAAGATACAGATCTCTTGATTTAGTTTAGATTCCGGTCTCGAAGAGATTTTGTTCTGTATTAAATGATTCTGTAACAAATATTTTGTAACCTAAATTTGTGGAGAAAATAAATAATAATTATTATTATTAAAAAAAATATATGTTTAATGGGACTTGTGTGTTTTCCAGAGTACACTGTTTGGATTGGTAGTTTAATATAAAATATGTAAACGCGACAATGGGCGCGATCAGTAACATATTTAGGTTCATAATGAAATACATAATGTATTATACTCGTACACAGTATATTCCATCGATATAATAAAAATAAGTCGTTAGAGATCGCGTAATATATTTGTAAAAGTTGAATATGTTTTGTTTTGTATTTCAGTTCTATTTGTGACGGCTAAGGGGCGCTGTATGATTTACCATAGGTAGTGTTGGGTCATGGAAAAATTGCCATTTTGAGAAAACCATATTTTCCAGAAAAAGGAATATTTTTCCGAATATTTCTCCTTTCATTTTCCACATTTGACGTTGACATCTGTCAAAAGTTGAAGTTAATGAAAGAAAACGATAGAGCCATTAAAAAGGTTTTTTTTCGTTGTTGTGAAATCATTTTAAATATCGTTTTTAATAGAAAATGGCTTTTCACTTAGAGAAAAAAAAGAACTTTTTCCATGCTAAATGAAACTTTAAAAGATATTTCTAAATGTATTTAATATATGAGCGTTCGAATTATATTTTTCCAATTTTTTGGGAATTTTTACGGAAAAACTTATAATATTTGAAAATTTTCGGAAAATTAGCCAACAGTAACTGTCAATTATTTTGCGCGGTCGCTATGGACTATCAATACTAATAACTTATGGTAGAGACCACCGAGCTGCGTTTTTCAACCGATATTTTCGGTAGAAGTAGTTATAATTTCATTCGAGAAAGAAATGTCATCGTTATGGCCACATTCCTAAATTAGCACAGAATTCCTACAGATTATATAGATTAATTATTAAAGGTAAAATCCCAGCAAAAGTAGTACCAGGAATCATATCTGTCTATAATATAATCATGGTAATCAGAACGATTGAGGTGAAAGTTGTTTGACGACATCAAAGAATGTACGAGCTTTAAGACTACGCCCAATTATAAGACGGCTCAAAATAGGTTTTGTTCATTGATCTCCAAACTCAATTTCCAATACTGCAATACCATGACACTGTTTCAGATTTAATTTATTTAACAGACAGAATTTAGGTAATATTCTAATAAAATGAGGTTTAAAACGTTCCAAGATTTTGTAATGTCTTTTTTTTTTAAATTATACGGATTGGATTACAATGTGAGCATTACTACTTACTAGCTTAGGTAGGGAAGGTACTTATATTCACAAGGAGCTCTACGACTATAATGTGCATTTTTTAAGTGCCCTGTCTAGTACCCATACCGTCTAGCCGTGTTTTCATTAGGGACAGTACAATCTAGACAGCTACTCTAAAGTCAGTAATGCCAAAATAGGTTTTGAAAAGACGTTTTGGTATATTTCAAGGATAAATCTATCGACCAGTGTTGTAGCGGAATCAATGGGTTTAGGTGGGTGCTATCAAAGAGTGGGCAAGACTAAAGTAAACTACTTATTACAAAACAACGCACCGCTATCAATCCAAACAGAAACAAGATTAAGAAAAGGCGCCAAAAACAATCACATTCAAATTTAGAATTTAAATATAAAACTAAACTTAAAAAGACTATATAAATCATTGACTTACAAATAAATGGACGACGGGTCTAATACAAAAACCACGAAAAAATGTCCCAAGTCAACCTATTCGAAATTTAAATTGTTATGTCATCGCAGTATCGCGCTGTCCGTAGAACAAATGAAGACTAAAGCAGAGTGTCGCGCTCTGTATACGATTTTAGCGCCTTACAAGTGCGGACACTTTTTAGCGCGGACCCGACGTCCATATAATTGTAAGTCAATGATATAAATATATTATATACAAACATCGATGTACACAAAGGAGACTTGTTGCGACTGCTGCGCGTTATAATTGTTGTTAAAAAGACTATATGCTATTTATTATAAATAATAATAAAAACACACTCTTGGTGCAATAAGGCCACATCCGCAAAACGATAATTTTTCAGGAGAGAAGTTTAAAGTTTCTGCAAACGAAATTGGTAACTTTTTATGCTAAAGAGTCGATTCAACCTCAAATGGCTTTGGTTGATTCCGTATAACAGTGAGTGTTGGATCAATCACTTAGGAGAAAATATATAGTAAAATTGAGGGTATACACTATACACGGTGTGAAAACGAGATTCCTAAATTTTTTTAAATATAACATCAAGTGACGGGATGAACAAGTCGTGCGCCTGATGGTACGCTACACGCCTGTCCATAACAGTTGCAGTGCCACTCAGAGCTTTAAATCGCAAAGATCTGAGGGGCACTGCCACTACGCCCGTCACCTTGAGATATAAACTGACAAGTCCCATGTGCCTGTAATTTCACCAGAACCCTTACCCTTCAAAACCGGAACACAGCATCGCTGAGATTACTGCTTGGCGGCAGAAATAGGTAAGGTGGCAGTACTTTACTGGACGAACTCTTCCACAAGGAGCTCTACTGTACTAAATAGTACTTTATATACATATTAGTCAATAAACTTCATATTAATCTATCATATAATCTCAGTGATGTGTTAACAGAGGAACTATTTTCGGCACTTACTTTAAATATATTTATTATTACCAAGGGTACGAAAGTAACTCTATTCTATTTATAATTTGATAGGATCTAAGGGCAAAGGTGCTGAGGGATGTTGGTTGATACAGAATATACCAAGCTACGATACATCGTACATATAGTACACTATATAATAACGCTCACACGCAACGCTTATCTATATATATATATCAGTAGATTTACAAGCAGGTTTCCTTTATTGAGGGGCATTGATTTTGAAGACTGTACAAATTGCAAACCGAAGAGATGATAGGCCATCTAATACGAAAAGTCAAGGCTACGTAAAAGGAGATCAAAGAAAAATTTTAAGCAGGCAGGATGTTGTTTATACATTAAACAACAGTGTGTCTCTTAGAGAGAGCAAGAGAGAGTACAGATATGAGTCCACGTCTACTGTTAATTGACAGTTACTGTTAGTTGAATTAAAGTGACCCAACGGTTTCCACTGTGGACACTGGATAAATAGGTCCCGGGTTCGATTCCTGTAGGACCAATTTGGGTAATGAACTTTCTAAATCAAGATTAATGGATATAAGACAATCTTATGTGTACTCGACATGCATGCTAATAAGGAAAATCCTAAACAATAATATAAATACTGTCATTAGTTTTAAACAGAAATCTCAACTACAGAGTATTAAACTACGTAGTATGAATAACCTAGTTCTCAGACCACCTAGAACAAATTACGGTAAACATAATGTAGAATATGAAGGTGCTAAACTGTTCTGTACTGTGTTAAATTTACAGTTTTACATTTTATAAATACCTGAATATAACCAACGGTAAACATCACTTTTAACAAATAGTAACAAAAAAGAATAATAATAAATATAAATGAGTAGAAAATAAATAAATTTAAAAAAGTAATACAAGTAATACATTAAAAAAAAATACACACCGTAAATGCGAGTGTTCAGTTAAAAAAATAAAAACAAATAAATCATGTGACTAAATAATTGCCCTAAAAGTGAATTCTGTCTATGCCATATCTGGATGCGGGATGGATAAGTCATAATTCTTACATCCATGTTTTTGTTTGTTGCGTGTGAATGCCGGCCGCATCGTGCAACTACCTTCATCGGAACCAATTGCAGATAAATTCAACTCAAAACGTATGATTTTAATTTTTGTCTACCTACATTATTTTCCTTAATACGCAGTGAATGGTGATGGTTGTATAGATTTTAGTGCGCTTTACTATTAAGTTTTGAAGTAAGATCTTAAATTTTCTCTGTAAGTGAATTTAAAGGAAAAAAATATTCTTTAACCATAAATGGGTTTTGGTTTGGTTGGTCTAGGTAGAAACCTGGAGAGTGAAATTCGTTGCTCTGTACGCATAGTTCAGGAAAATCCTTAGCTTAATTGGTGTACTTGTCTGGCACAAAAAAAGTTGATTATTTACTTATTCGAAAAGTACTCGTTGAGGCTATACTTGTGGCAACAAATTTCCTATAAAAATGGGTTTCTCTAGAAATTTATTATTGTATGAGATGGCGAATTTCGTAAGAAATTAACAGTGTAGCTAATTAATCAGTTTGAAACTTTGCAATTTCTGTGTTTTTTAATTTAAATTTTTCTAGTTATTTAGGCATGATGCTTCTTTGTAGGTAGGTAAATTAAGAAATCGACGAAATAGATGAAATGTGTTAGATAATAAACTCGGTACAGAGTACTAAAAGAACGGACCTCAAATGTGTGTGGAGTTTTATCGAAATCGGTTACCGGATAGTGCACGAAACCGGATTCATCCCCTAGTTAGCCAATTAGAGGTGGAATAGTTTCTTCAAATTAAATGTGACCATTTCTGAGGTACGCACCCCTCTTTCCAACAAAAAAAGAATCAATAAAATCGGTTCACAAAATTTGTTATACAAGTTATCGCGTAACATACATATAAAAAAAAAGTCGAACTGAGAACCTCCTCCTTTTTTTGAAGTCGGTTAAAAGAGTTTTGATCAATGATACGTCGAACAAACGACATTCGATTATGTTTAATAATATATTCGAGTGAAAGAATCTGTCAATATCTTTTGTTTAATTAGTCGATGAATCGTCATAGTTGAAGAGTAATTCAGCGAAACGTGTTTCGAAGTTACATAGTGCAAAAACTTACCAAGTTCAGAGCCACAGACGCGCGGGATGATCTCAAGGATAGCGGAGCAGGAGGCGTCTTCGAAACATAGCTGCCTAGCCAGCAAGCAGTTCAGGATCGCCATTGTGCCCTTTATACCGGGCGCTGCAACAAAGAATTTTTTTTACACTAAGTGGCGGGATGATCTGTTGCAGTGTCACTTAGACCTTCAAATCGCAAAGGTCTGGGGCACAAGTTGACAAGTCTCGTGTGCCAGTTATTTCACCAGCACCCTTACCCTTCAAAACTGGAAACGCAATAATGCTTACATTCCTGCGTGGCACCAGAAATAGGTAAGGTGGTAGTGCTTCCCAGGACAAACTCTTCCACATGAAGCTCTACTGTTGCTAGCAGCAGTCCCTTTAGACATAGTTAATAATAATAATAATGTGTACCAGAGCAACAGAATTCTCTCCGGACCAGAACTAATTTAGAACAGTCCTCGACCAGTATCCACATTGAAAACCGTTGGAGTGCCAAGGTCTTCAAGATAAGTTAAGTGAAATGAAATTAAATATTTATTTGCAGGCAAATATGGTACATGATATTTATACAAAGTGTCATGAACACGTGTTACACCAGGTACTGACACGCATATATTAAAATTAGAATGAAGTTAAATAGTGTCATAATAATTAGAATTGATTTGCCAAATAAGCAATGTCAAATAAAATAAAATAATGACGAGATAAATAAATAAATAAAGTTACTTTTTATTTACGTTACTAATTATTACACTTATAGCCGTGCCATGAACACACTCATAGGACTCACTCAGTTTCAGTGTCATTTCACAGTGCCGAAGTTGCTAAGAGCGAGTAGATCCACACGTCGAAATCGCAAACTGACGCTAGACGCTAGACCCAGCACTGTGAAAGTTACGCACGGGCGGACCAAGCCAATAGATCTCAATCTCGGTCTCGTAGATTTCGCCCGTATAGACACAGGCGCGCGCGCGGCCATTTTGAACGCAACGAAGGTCAACGTACATTTGATTTACACGCACCTGCACCCGCTCGCACTCTGAATAAGACCATAGACAACCACAAATTACACCCAAACTCTCGAGAGAAATAAATGTAGGCCATACAAATATTTCTCTCGGCCCGGGAATTCAACCCAGGACCTCTGCGTGGTCGACCAGCATGGTAAACGTTCGGCCAGCAGGCAGTTCTATCGTAATAAGATAAGATAAATATGAATTTATTTCAATATAACTTAATTTAATACAATACAAGTAAAACAAATGTAAATAAAGCTATTATGGAAATAAAGTGTTACAATAAGCATTAAAATGGGAACCTAAATTATAGAATCTTCATAGTAGAGCTATACATTTTAATATTAGAACCTAATGTGTAATTGCGATGCCTAAACAAAGTAAATGTGTACTTGTATTTTAGGCATCTTTCTGGGCAAATTTCTTTATATTACAGCTTAAAAAGAGATTTTCTATATTTAACAATAAAAACAGTACTGAGTACTAAAAAAACCGACCTCAAAAGTCTTTCATCCCCTACTTTGCCCCCCTTAGAGGTGGAATATTTTCTTCAAATTTAAATGGGACCACAACCGAGGTACCCTCTTTCCAACAAAGAAAGAATCATCAAAATCGGCTCACGCCGGAGTTATCGCGTAACATACATACAAAAAAAAACATAAAGCCGAATTGAGAACCGCAATAGGCGGTTATTGTGGAGAAGTAGTTTCTTCCAGCAATTTCTGGGCAGACATCGCGTATTATATAAAGTACTTAAGACTTAATAAGGAAAATAATAGAGCCCATAGGCCCTTAGCGAATATTAATGTCCTCCGAGAACACGTGAACCATAAACTTGTTAAATGTGTACAGGTAAAGTACTATAGCTTTTACTTGCCAATTTACAAACTTTAAATCAGGTGCTAGTGGACGCAAACTGAACAGCTTAGAACTGAAAATAACGCGTCGAAAATAGCGTTTCCAGATTCAATATTGATCTAGTGGAGCCAACTGGGATATTCTACAATCTAGATTTCCAGGCCAGTATGAGATTTAACTTAAGCTACATCTTTTGAATCATTCTTGAATTTCGTCGAGTATTTCGAATTCTGGCTACCCGTTCCATATAGCAACTTTTTAATAATTTCAAAAGAAGACGGAAGATATTATAGACGGATATGTATTTTAAGATATAGTTAGTAGTAGCAGTAGAGCTCCTTGTGAAAGAGTTCATCCAGTGAAGTACTGCCACCTTACCTATTTCTGCCGCCAAGCAGTAATGTCAGCATAATTGTGTTCCGGTTTTGAAGGGTAAGGGCGGTGGTGAAATTACATACACATGGGATTTGTCAACTTGTGTCTCAGGGTTACGGGCGCAGTGGCAGGGCGCTTCAGATCTTTGCGATTTAAAGCTCTGAGTGACACTAAAACTGTTATGAACAGGCGTACACGCCTGCCCATGACCTGTGGTAACCTACGATCGTCGACGTCGACGACTCGTTCGTCCTGTCACTAGACTTTACAAAAAAAAGGGTTTGACCTCTGTATCTAATTTCTGAACTTACTTACTTACTTACATTTTCGATAAAATTGCTTTTGATTTCCAGAAAATCTTTTAATCCTATAATTGTTGCATGTTCCATCTTGTTCAACTCTTAACACTTTTGCTTTTGCTTTTGCACTTAGCCATTTTAGCTAAAACTCTCACAGTAAGTTGCAAAAGTAAAAAGTCCTCCATCTATGTTTTTTATTGAAGAAAAACCAAAGATAGCATGTTATAAGTAACATGCTGTCTCTGGTAAGAAGTATTAAAGATAATGAAGGTTTGTGCAATAGGCCGTTAATATAAACTCCAAAGGAAAACATCCAAAGGAATTTTAAATGATAAGCTCACCGCATATTTACGAAACTCATAACCAATGTAAACTTTGCCCTTCTTTGTTTGTATGTTTGCACTGTGAACACACGGCTCTTATTCAGTTTTAATAAGGTTTTGTTTTGAGCGTGGTACGTATCGATGTTTACGAATTTAAAATTTAGATTTATTTTATCTTTGTCGCCATATTGTGTAACATGGGCGACGAGTTTTAAGGATTTTTTTCTTTTGCTAACAACACGAATATTGATGTTAATTTAATTGACAAATTTTGGTGAATTTTATTGACCTTACTATGTACTTCGCTGGCTCAGTGATCCAATGTGTCTTGGCCTCCGAAACGAGATGACACCACTTTCTTCGGTTCTGTGTAGTCTCTCGCCAATTGATGGCTTGTAGTGCGCATAGGTCCGTCGCACAAGCGATACCCGACACGACCAACCGGTCTTTGTCCAGTAGGATGACCCATAAGACTCTTTTTATAGGAGTTATAGTATACGTCTATTACATTTTTGTGTGTAATTTTTATTAAATAAATTTGGTCACCGAGGGTCCGAAAGTGCTATGAACACATTGCGTTTTCCAGCAAATACTGAGACCCGTTTGTTACTAGCGGCTAGTACGACACAAAGTTGTGTGGTGCTAGTGTCGCGTAGTGTCTTTGTTTATGTTTATGTAAATTATATATTTGACGACCTACGTGGGCGAGTAGCCTGCACGCAGGTTTTCATGGTGTCGCCATCTCTGAGGTCCCGGGTTCGATCCCGGCCGGGTCCATAACACGAGTGTAGTGAAGTTTAGATCAGAGCAACGTATGTGATGTTGTCTAATATTTATTTATTTATCACAGTATTCTAAGCTTGATTTTTTATTAAAAAAATATGTGGTTTATTTCAGTTTTTATTTTTATTTTCTTTTTTCTGTTTGTTTCTTTTTTCTTGTAAGGTATCATTTGTGGAAGTTTTTAAATGTACAGGCTCAAATAGTAAGGCAGAATAATAGTTTTGGTTACACATGTGTTCATAAAACAATTTTAGAAAAAATCTTTTGGATATTGTATACAAACTAGCCTAATATTGTTAAGAATCATGGACACTTTAACATAACGAAGATGGCACTATTGCAGTTTATTATTACATGCAGTAAGAAGAAATAATTAAATCATCTCAGTACAGAGTACTAAAAAACCGACCTCAAAAGTACGTGGAAGTACATATAATTACCAAGTTTTATTGAAATCGGTTACCAGAAAATGCGCAAGCCCAGATTCATCCTCTAGTTCGCCACTATACGGGACTTGACACAGGAGATAATAATAAAAATCAGTTTTCACTACTCAAAGTATATTGAGAGAAAAACGCCTTGAGTTGGAGAACAGCAAACTCAACCATTAAAATAGTTGCTCCTTATAATTAAGTATAGGCGCTATTTATAAAAATGAATCTTCATGAGTGAACAGCCACCCATAGAGGTGGATGATTTTCTTCAAAATGAAATGGGACCACTATGGAGGTACCCTCTTTATAACAAAAAAGAATCATGAAAATCGGTTTACAAATACCGGAGTTATCGCGTAACATACATACAAAAAAAAATATACAGTCGAATTGAGAACCTCCTCCTTTTTTTGAAGTTGGTTTATAATAATAACGCACACACTCAACATAACCCAGCGCTGGGGAAACCCTGTGTCGCGGGTGCCATGAACTCACGAGAGAAATAAATGTAGACCATACAAATAATTCTCCCGGCCCGGGAATCGAACCCGGGACCTCTGCGTGGCCGTCCGGCATGGAAACCGTTCAGCCACGGAGGCAGGTAAATGGAAAACGCATTTATTAAATGGGCTATAGGTCATTTTTTAAATATTATTTTTCTATTCCAATATTAGAAATCAAGTGCCAATTTAATTATTTCACTTCCCAACTCAACCCGAGCAGAATTATAACAGTTATTTCTGTATAAATTTTAAAGGTCAACGGTTTTAACCGGAACCCGAAGGGTATATGCGATTTTTGGTATATAATATTACCGGATGTAACAAAAGGTTCGATCATATTTCAGCTGGTTATGGTAATACGAATAAAAAATAAAATAACGGGTTCGTGTGCGTGTTTTTTTAAGATCTTTGTTTCATCAATATCTACAATCACCAGCAAAAATATATTTTTTTTGGGTAACCTATTACAAATTCGAATTTTTTTTCCGAAATAATGTCTATTCGAATTTTCATTAAACCGTTGTTGTTTC